TCCATGAGATTCAGTGTTTCTGTTTTTTCTTTTCTTTTCTTTATTTTTAAAATTTTATTTTATTGGTACATTTTAGGTATACAATATAATGACATTCATCATTGGAAATTTGCACCTTTACATAATCTCTCTTGGTTCTTATTTTTTCCTCATTCCCCTGACCTCCCTTCAACCCCTCCATCATTCCCTATTTACAAAGACTTTGTTTCAATTTTTTCATTTTCTCATATTAATTCCATTCCCTTCTTTCCTTCCCCCTACCCCTCCTACTTCCCCTTCCCCTTTGCCCCTTTCATTTCTGTTTTTTCTTTTAAAATCTAGTTCTTTGATCCATTTTGAATTGATTTTAGCACAGGTTGAAAGATAAGGATAGAGATTCATTCTTATGCATGTAGATAACCAATTTTAACAGCACCATTTTGTAGAGAGGCTATCTTTCAAAACTACAACTTTTGTTTTTGGCCTGCTTTTCGAAGATCAGATGACTGAGTAAGTCTGAGGTTGTTTCTGGATTCTCAATTCTATTCTGTTAATTCAGATGTCTGTTTTTGTGTCAGTATTGTGATGTTTTTATAACATAGCCTTGTAATATAGCTTAAATCTGAATTTGTGATGCTTCCTGCTTTGTTATTATTGCTCAGGATTGCTTTGGCTCTTTTGAGTCTCTTCTGGTTCCATATACTTTTTTTTTTTTTGACACTGAGAATGGAACTCAGGGACTCGTGCTTACCAGGTAGAAACTGTTACTGCTGAGCTACATTTCTTGCCCTTCATATACCTTTGAGGATTGTTTTTTTTCTAGTTCTATGAAGAATGCTGCTGGTATTTTCATTGAAATTGCATTTAAATCTATATGTAATTTTTTTGGTAATAGGGCCATTTTGACAATGTTGGCTCTGCCCAGGAACAGGGGATGCCTTTCTATTTTCTATTGTGGGAATGATATTTCAAAACAATAGACTTCCCATAGGTAAGCTTCATAAAACATGGATGCTACTAGATGCAAAGGAATCTTTTTCCTATTTTATTAGGAAAATAGCCATTTTTTTTTCCTGTCAGAAATAACTTTGACAGTGAACTGGCTAAATTCTATATGTAAATCAGTTATTTGGCAATAGTTGGAACATGTTCTTACCTAGAACATTCTTCTGCATGTTCTCTGACATCTTTTTGTGTCTTGGTATTTTATACAGGCCTCTCTTAGCACCCTGCTTGTATTGTATCTATCAGTGTTGACTGATTTGATTGTGATTTCTTGGGCTGTAAAATTTTTTTGTACTAATCTGTATATCTTGGATGCCTAGAATGTTGTGTCAAATAGTGAACAACAGATTTTTTTTCAAAGAAAAGGTGAATAATATTCATTCACATACAGTATTAATTCAGTGATACACATCCAGTGTTTTTAATGCCTGTGATAGAGTAAGTACAATTCTAGACCCTAGGAGCACTGTGGTGGCAGTACCAGTGTGGCCCTTGCTGACTGTATAATAAATGATTATGAGGGTTAGGATTGGAAGCATAGAATCTTGCTGAATACCTGCCTTAAAAATGGGGACCTGAAGCCTCACAGAGGAATCAGTGTTTAAGTTGGGACCAGAAGTATGAGCTGTAACCAGCAGGGTTGAAAATACTGGGAGGTGCAGGTACAATTCCAATCACAGGAAGTTAACTTACAGTGTCTTTATTAATGACTTTTGGGAGTGATTTTCTCCTACCAACGGTGCCACTTGGGTAGCTTTATTTAACAGAGACAAAGACTGTCATAGTTTTTTAAATGATCTTTTTCTGAGTATGTCTTTTTAACCAGTACAACATTGTACTATTGTTGTGTGTGTGTATAACAGAATGACATCATTCTTTTTTTTGGCATATATTTACTTTTAGTATGTGAAGTCAGAGGCAGTCTTCTACAAAAGAATATTAGAATAAGAACAAAGTAATCTTTTTGTGGGTATTCATCTATTTTCTAAATTTTGGAGGTCAGTTTAATTTTTAAGTTTCCTATTAGAAGTTCTAATTTGAAGAGAAGCACATAAAAATTATCCATTCATTGGCTTTAAAAATTACCATCTTTACTAGAAATATCCTAAGAACTAACAGCTATTGTTTGTTGAATGCCATATATATGCCATATATATTGATATAAACATTCCAGAAACACTGTGAGAAAAATATTTTTATCCCTTTTTCTATAGATGAGGACACTGAAACTAATTGTGTCCAAATTCCCAAAACAAGAAGTGACAGATAAGAATTTGCTCTCAAGGGTATCTGACTCCAGAATCTGAGTTCCTAACTTGGAATTGTTTAGAGAGCAAATAAGACATGTTTAGCTCTCATGTGGATGTTGAGACAGTCTCAGACCTTCACGGTTTTCTTCATCATAAGAAACAGTATTCTTTGCTTTGTTTAATAATACTTTATTCCATTTTCTTTATGTTGAAATTCATGAATAGATGAAAGCTAAAATATTCATGGATTAAGGTAGGTTAAAAAAAAGAACATTTTCATATATTGTTGGTGTGATGATCTGTACATTGGAGAATTTTTTAGTGATATATATTGCAAAACTTAAACTCATTTACCCCTTGACTCAACAGTTCTACTTTTAAGATTTTATACTGCAACTGAACTTGCTCATGCATGCAAAGAAAGATATATGCCATGGGTATTTTTTGTAGTATTGTTTGAAAAAGTTAGAAATGACTTATGTGTTCAATAGGGACCTGATAAAATAAGTCATAGTATGTCAATAAAGTGTAACTTTATGCAAGCATTATAAAGAATGACAATAGTAGCTAATCAAGTATTTACTAAGTGCCACAAGCTGCTCCTATTTAATTCTAATAAAAAGTAGATATTATTATTATTGTTAATCCATTTATAAATGAAGAAATGAGGCATAAAAAGGGTAAGTGACTTGTTCAAGGTCTTACAATAGAGACATTAAAGCAATCTGGCTCTAGAGTTCACACTGTCAATCATTGTTCAATATTGTTTCCTAGTCATCTGTAGTGGAGTGTGAAAAGAAAATAAACTGATAAGTGAAAAGAACAAATTGTAGAAAATTTCTATAGTATGATATCACCTGTGAATGCTGTATATCTATTCATTTTCCATTTGTAATATGTAAAATGTTTCCTTATGACATTAAATCTCTATTTGTAAACAAAATTAATAGATATGAATATATTGTTTTATGTTTTTAAATTTTTTTTTGATACAGGGTCTTGCTATGTAGTTCAGGCTGGCCTAGACTACATAGTACCTGTGTGCTTGCAGCAATTCTCCTGCCTCAGCCTCCCAAGTCCTGTGATTACAGTTTTGTGCTACCATGCCCGGCTTTTTTTTTTTTTCTGGTACCGGAGATCGAACTCTGGTCCTTGCGCTTGCGCAGCAGGTGGTGAAACCACTGAGCTAAATCCTCGGCCTTTTTTTTTTTTTTTTGAGATAGGGTCTCACTATGTAGTTCAGGTTGGCTTTGAACTCACTATGTAACCCAGGCTGGCCTCAAACTCAGAGTGATCCTACTACCTCAGCCTCATGAGTGCTGAGGTTACAGGCATGCACCACCATACTGACTGAATATATTCTTAAATATATATATATATATATAATATACACACTTTTAAAAAACTTTTATTAGTACATGTTTGCAGTACATAATGATTGGATTCACTATAGGGAATTGGTACATGTACATAATGTATTTCAGTTCCCTTCTTTATCCCCCTGCCTCCATCCTCCTTTTTATTTTTCCAGCATCAGATTCATTTATTTGTCTTATCAGACCTTATAAAGTTAATTATAATATTTACAGATTGAAAACCAGACTAATAGGCCAAAGAACGTATACAATATGTAAGACAACTGTACTAAGTCAAGGTACAATTTTAGATACATTGTCTGCACTGGATTACAATATCTTTTTTTTCCCTACCATCTGTCTTTTATTTTGATATATATATTTTTTCATATAAGAGAAAACGTGATATTTAAGCTTCTGTGTCTGAGTTACTTCACTTAACATTATGGTCTCAAGATGCGTCAATTTTCCACAAATGACTCAGGTTTATCTTTTTAATGGCAGGATAGTACTCCATTGTATATAAATACCACATTTTAAAAAATCCATGTATCTGTTGATGGACATATAGGCTGTTTCCAAGACTTAGCTATTATGAATTGTGCTGCTATAAACATGGGTATGCATACATCACTGTGGTGTGATGTCTTTAACTCTTTTGGAAAGACACCTCGAAGGAGAATAGCTGAATCAAATGGAATTTCTACTTTTAGTTTTTTGAGGAATCTCAATGCTGATTTCCATAGTGGTTGTATCCATTCACAATCCCACCAACAATGGTGAACTGGGAGCTTTTAAGAATAAATGAGTATATGTTATTTTTATAGTAACTTTTAAATAAAATTACTTTAAAATAGCGGACATGGTATTTCTCTGACAGTTATGTAATATGAAATATTATTTCTGTGACTAAATTTAGGATATACTTTATTCATTATATTGGTATAGAATAAATCTGCTCATTTTAAACTTTTATCAGAGAAATGTCATTTTCTTAAAGGCTAGCTCTTTTCTAACATCCATTAAGTTAGAAGGTACTTAGTGAAGATTTGCCTTATTTTTATAAACAGGAGTGTTTGTGATTAAAGACCTAGTACTGAAACTTTTCACAGTAATTGAGATCAGAAAACATAGAAGTTGATAGCAGCTTTTACTGGATGTTGCTAGTTGATTGAGCATAATTTTCTTGCAGGAAGATGGTATCATGCTTTTTAAAGCTCAGAGCATTTATCAAAAACAAATGTCAAATTGAACCTGCCTTGTTTATTAAGATACAATGTTCTAGCATCCACTGACAGTATTTTAATATTATGCTTGTCATCGAATATACTTAGAATTAGGTTGGCTGGTAAATGCTGAGATATGCATAATTGAAACTTACAGTGTAACTTCCCTGGGTTGTGTTTTTCAGGTGAAGCTCTGAAAGTATCAGCTGAGAGATTTACAGATGACCCTTGTTATCTCCCAAAAAGGGAGGCTGTAGTTCAAGCCGCCCGTGCCTTGTTGGGTGCAGTTACCAGACTCCTTATTCTCGCGGACATGATTGATGTCATGTGTCTGCTGCAGCGCATGTCATCTGTAAGTAAAAGATGGCTTAGTTTGTTTTGGTATTGTTCTCACTTCTAATTCCATTCTTCAAAGCTGGCATCAATCCTGGTGCATTCTTGTCTCACCTTCATTTCTTATGTAACTTGTCAGACGCTGACCAGATTGGTTTGTGAAGACTAAAGTATACTTCAAAAGACTGAACCCAGAAGTAGTACTAAAGCCAGTGGGAAATTGAGGAACAGAAGATAGCTTGCTGACAAGGAAATGTTTAGGAGAAAGTTCTAAACTTTTGATTTGAACTTATTATGCACTATATAAATATAAGTAAATAATAGAATTATGTAGAAAATATATAACAAATGTGTTCATATAAATGACTTGAAAAGGAGAGATCTTAAAGCTTAAGATGTTTGGAAGTTTATTCTAGTTTGTAAATGAGTGCTACTTTGCCAATTCCTCTTGACAATGATAATTAGTGCATCCTTACTAGTAGTTTGTGAAGTCTGTAGTAAGCCATTATAAAAACATATACATGGATTTAATGAGTAAAATTGTATTTTAAGTAGAAAAAACTCAAGACAGCAAGATATTCTGCTTGCTGTATTTTGCCAGACAAATCCATTGAACCAGAAAGAAAACTTTAGTAAAGCCTTATTTTACTTTCATAATTTATTTAGTTTGACCATGTCATGGTGTCCAGAAGAAAAGGTTGCAAAGAATCTCTTGAAATCTCTACTGAATTTCCTGCTTTAAAGAGGATCTTTACACTTGTGCTCATATATACATCTGTTTTCATAAAATCACCTGGTGATTATACTGTTACTACATTAGTAGTAGTACAAATAGTAGCTTTGTTAGATTGACCTTGTCAAAATCATTTTATCTACTTGTTAAGATAACCCTTCTTTACATCTTGTATTTACTGTTGGTTATTTTGTTCTTTGATGTTCATTTTATTTTTAAAAAAAATTTTATTTAATTGGTACATTTTAGGTATACAATATAATGACATTCATCATTGGAAATTTGCACCTTTACATAATCTCTCTTGGTTCTTATTTTTCCCCCTTCCCCTGCCCTCCCTTCAACCCCTCCATCCCTCCCTACCTACAAAGACTTTGTTTCCGTTTTTTCATTTTCTCATATTAATCCCATTCCCTTCTTTCCTTTCCCCTTGTTCTCCCGTCCCCTTCCCCTTTGCCCCTTTTCTTCCTATTTCATGTTACCTATTATACATTTTAGTCCTTATTTACACTTTCAGTTTCTCACACTAGAAAAGCTATTTGGTATTTACGCATGTGTGTCCTGTTTATTTCACTTAAGAGTGAAATAAATGAATAAATGAAATAAGTGAAATAAAGTGAATTTCTTTTGATAATTTTATTACTCTAAAAAAGCAACTCAATTGTTTTGTTCTTATTAATTGGTTATTAATTTGTTGAATTAGAATAGTCAAACATCTGAACATTCTTAGATTCAGTTTTCTTGAATGTAAACATAGACACTAAAAAATTCTGTAAAAAGAAAAGAATATGAAAGATTGAGTGTCAGGTGATTCCTAGTTCTGATGACCCAATATTTCCTATATTTCAGACTCTAGATTGTTGAGATAAGGTAGAATAAAGGGCTTTTGTAAAGTGAAAACTGCCACCTTTACAGTCAACTATGAGATAAATGTTTATAAAGAACACAACCACCTTCACTGTCATTTTAATTGAGAGCCTGTAAGTACTAGGCACAGTGCTAGCCAAGTCATATATACCACATCACTTAAATGATATTGTAGATCAAACAAAAGCAAAGTACTAACTTTTGTAATAAAAATTATTGTTAATAATTATAGAGTTTTTATTATGTGCCAGACACTGTATTGAATTATCTCTATTAATTCAATGCTCACAATAGCAATATCATAAATTTAAGAATCTTGTTCAAAGCAACAAGAAAACTTTGTGCACCAAGAGTCAGAACAGTCTAAATACAAAGTTTAAGAAGTGTTTGGACAAGTTCATGAGCCTCCAACAGGCTGTTAAGTTAGGTATGTCAGAAGACATTCTAATCTCCAACCATTTTCTCCTGCATTGCTGGTAACTTGTCAGTACCTGAACTTGGGCTAGAGCATTTAAATTACTTATAAGCATGTACAGTACAATGATGATATTTTATCTGTGAGAAGGAAAGGTTTCATATTAAAGAGAAGGGAAGCCATTTGTGGTAAACTGCAAAAGAATTGTGTGCTGAGCATGGCCTTTCCTATACTCATTTTAGGAAATTCTTCATTATCTTTTTAGGTCTGATGTTTTTAAGATAAAATATTACATCAAACTTTATTCATTTTCCTCAGCAGAAGGATTGGACTGAGTTACTAATTTGCCATTACAAGCAATAGAATTCCCATAAATTACTTCAGGAAATATTTTTCTATGCATATTCTAGATTGTAGGTAAATCATATAAATTACAGAAATCAAAACATCTTGAAATCCAATCAAATTATCTGATGTGAACATGCCAAAATATATTCAGATAATTGCCTTTCTGGTTTGATGCCTAACATTATCTTACCTATTATTATTTTGGTTCATATTGATTTTGAGAGGAACTAAAATCACCATGTATGTGAACTCAAACTACTCTTAATCTAGGTCTTCTTCATATGATACTAGTTTCATTTTTTTTTTTTTAGTATGTAAAGGTAAATGTTACATTTATATTCATTGAATTTTATCTTGTTAATTCTGGCATCACGATCTTTTGGGCTCCTGATTTTGTCTTTTCCTCCTAGCCTCGTGTCATTTTCAAATTCTTTAAACAAGTTATTCATAAAAAAGTTTAATGACATGGATAATGGTGTCATATCTTCCTTTCCAATAACACCAATCAAATATTGACAGACTTTGAGTAAAGTTATTGAAATGAGCTTCTAGCTCGCTTCATTGGGCTACTATATAAACTTTTCTTCTTTATTTCTTCCTCAGGCATTTTCCCAAAGGCCTTTTTGAAATGAAGATATATTGTCTGTGGCATTATGGATTTATCAGTCTAGTAACTTCAGTTATATAGGAAATGAAGTTAGATTGGCATGACTTACTCTTAATAACCCAATAAGAGCTCTAAGTGACCATTGCTTGGTTGCTTTTATTCCCTTTTTTTTTCTAACTTTCATTTTTCGATTACTCACAATCCACTTACAGTCAAGCAGCACTTGTCTGCTGGGATCTCCTTGCCCTTTAGTTGTAGATATAATTTGTTTATACCTGCATTCCATGTCCTGTCAAATATAATGTCTTCCTCAAGATTTCTGTGAATTTTCTGGGAGCACATATTCTCAGGGTCACCTCTGGTGCCAAGCTTTTGCTTCCACTGAAGTGCTTTCATTTTTGGTTTACTTTTCTATTCCTGTTTTCCATTATGTTCACCTAGACTATTGGGAGTTGACCTTTTCCCCTTGATCTCTCTCTCTCTCTCTCTCTCTCTCTCTCTCACACTCCTCCTCTTCTTTACTCCTGCTCCCATGCATGTTTATGATATGAAAAACTTTATAGAAGACTGGGAAGATGGAAGGAAGTGTTTCTATATTGTAATAATATATCCTAAGTGGCATCAATTTGTATGTTATCTTAAAAATCCTTTAATGCCTTCATCTCATTGCTCCTCCACTGCTTTTCTTCTTACTTATTCTCCTTTAGACCCCTAAATTCTTATTCATTTGAATGCAGTAGATAGCTGGTTTCTTCCCATCATCAAACTTGGCTGTGCCCTTAGGGCATCACTGTCCACCTTTAATGACTCCATAAGGTATTTTCCTCAGTATAGACAGTACCCTCCCCCAAAAGAATTAATTCTATAGTTAGCTAGAACACACACACACACACACACACACACACACACACACACACACACGCACGCACCCTACCATGTAACAATCTATTATAGAATTGTTTTTCTGGGTGCACACATTTCTTTCTGCAAAAGTTGGCTACCTTCTTATTTCTTGCTCTTATTTAGAATATAATGGACAAAGGCCTGCTTCTTCTCTTTTCCCATTTTATCTTCTGTATTTCATGCAAGTTTCTGGCTCTATCTTTCTTGACACTCTTATGTAAGTCCTTGACACTTTTTCTTTGTTCTTTATTTTACTGCATCAAAGAGTTTCTTTACTTTCACAAAGTTTTCTTTAGTGATTTTATTTTCTTTCTTTTTTTGTCTTTTTCTTCTCTTTTAATTTTTAATTTTATTAGTACTACAGTCAGAAAGGATCAAAGATCTAAACATTAAAACAGAAACATTAAAGTCTGCTGAAAAATAAAATAAGTAAAACACTTGAAGACATAGGTGTAGGAAAGCATTTCCTAAACCGAACCTTACTTGCATAAGAAATAATAGCAAGAATCAACAAATGGGATTATATTAGGGTAAAAAGCTTCTGTACAGCAAAACAATCAAACAGTAGAGTGAAGAGACAGACAACAGAATGGGAAAAAATTTTTTACCAGTTGTTCTTCAGACAGACGACTAATATCTAGACTATACAAAGAACTCAAAAATATCAAATCACCTAAAATTAAAGATCCTGTCAAGAAATGGAGAAGAGAAATGAACAGACACTTTACAGAGGAAGAAATACAAAGGGTCAACAAATGTATGAAAATGTTTTTTTTCTTCTTGAGACATTTTCTAAATAACAGAAATTTTCATCACTATTGAAGTACATAGACGTCAGGTAGATGAGACATTACTCTACTTCTGATTAATATTTTGTACCTATACATTTCCTGCTTTCTTATCTCTATTAAATTATCCCTTTCATATAGAGACTGCCTTCAGAGATGCAATATGAGGATATAGGCTCAGGTCACCAGGGAGAGCAAATACGGGTCGCTGAGCAACTCTTAATGTGACCAGTCCTGCCACCTGCCCTTAGCTAATGTATAGTTAAATAATTAAGGATTTCTGAGTTGGAAGTTTTAAGGGTCTCTGGCTCCTTAAGGAAATATTATTTTCTTTTGTTGGAAACAGCTTGAAATCAAA